AAAAAAAAAAAAACCCAAAACCCTGCACCATAGTTGCTGAGACAGTGCTGTGAGCATGGGCTTGAACACTGAAGCAGGATAATCCAGTAGGAGGAAAATTAATTTGAAAGACAATGGTAAGAAAGGGGAAGAACAGATCACAGGAGACCTGCTGTGAAAGAGAAAGAGAGTGCTAGGAAGAAGTTCTTCCAGCCTGAAGCCCAAGCAGGTGAAAGAGATGAACGAGTGACTCTGAGCGTTCCGGAGAGCCACGTGATTCCTAACCCATCATTGTGAAGGTGTTTTAAAATTCTGTGCATGCTTCATTTTATTTTTTAGAACAACGCAATCCTTGGGGATTATTCTCGCCTGTGCTCTGCATTCCCGTGGGTCCAGCACACTGTGGACAGCTGCATGGCGGAGGCAGATGGGAGGGGCATGAGACGAGTGCTCCTGGGATGCAGGCTTGGTGACAAGTTGTGCAGTAAGTATGAAACCACCTGGGCCTTGCTTCTGAGTTTAGGATGAGGGAGGCTGAGTGGAATGGATTCTAGAAGGAAGATGACTTGATTTTTAGTAGAAATGAACTAGTGACAATAAAAGGAAAGGTACGAGGGGTCATGATCTCTGAAGGGGAGGCAAGTGCCAATCAGAATTTCAGCTGTGCTACATCTGAAAATAACAGGTGAGCACATGTGAAGGGCTAAGAAACAGGGGCACTGGGGCTTCTGATTAGAGAGATGCTCTCAGTAGGGGGTCCACTGAATATAAGTAGAGGGGAAGAAAGAAGAGATGATTGTTTCACATGGGGCAAGCTGGGACCAGTGGTAGGGGAAGCTGTGTGGCTGTGGCTCTCAGCTTGGGTTTATTCTTCATCGTGTTCTTTTCTTGCTTGATTCCCTACCCAGTTATCCAGGACCATCAGTATGAAATCATTATCGTCCCAACCCTGCTGGTTGGCATCTTCCTCATCCTTCTTGGGGTCATCCTGTATCTTTTCATCAGAGGACAAAGAGCCCAACAACAATCTTCTGCATGTCAAGGTAAAGTTGGAAGTGGGGCGGGGCAGAGGCTCCGGAATGATAGGGATTGTGGAACGTAAGGTGTAAATTTTAATGGGCCTGAGTCACGCGTTCTGGGGCCTTGCAGTGGCAGAGATATGGAGCTGAGAAGAGCTTCACGAGGAATCTGAGTAGAAAGTCCATGTGTGCTTGTTAGCTGGAAGAAGAGTTAAGGAAGAGCTATCTCATGTGACTTGTTTGTCTGACATGTCGAATGTGCATTATTAAAGCTTTGGTCAAGTGACTGACTAAGGAGTGGGGAGGGAGATCTAGTGGGCAAAACTGGAGGTTTTGTTACCAGCCTTAAAGAATGACATTTCATGCTATACTACATTACAGTTCTATGCAGTGTTCCTAAAACGTCTGACTACAAAAGGTGTAGTCTTCATAGTAGTCTGTGAGTAAGGGTAAGGAGGAGGTCATGCCATTCTGGACTACTACTAAGCATGCAATGGAAGAGAATCAGCTCTTACATGAAATTAAGGGTAAGAAGAAAGAAGAAAATTCCTCACAGTGCTATGAAACGTTCTATGACAGTGGAGGATTAACCAGAGCTCAGGGCTGAGTAGTTGCACATGCCTCTCTACCTCTGGAAACAATTTGTTTGATTAAATGATGATGCGTCCCCTTGGCAGTTAATACCTGCAAGGATCTGTGGTTTAGGTATCTATTCTGGAACTTCCTTAATTATTTCCTCAGTAGACTCACACTGAACTATAATACTGAAGAAGACAGGAGAGAGATGTTATTACCACTTTCCAAAGTCCCATCTTGACTCAGGCGTCCACCTCTTTGTAGAAGTAGTGGGGTATTAAATGAGGCTGGGATTGATAGTGGTTCAGAGAAACATTAGGAGGAACTCCCTCACTGATCTGAAAGAAAACTGCCAAAGGAACCTGCTTGTCAGTTTATTCCAGATTCCACTTTCTGGAATACTCAGGATAGGGTCAACAGCTTGCACCATCTCCTGTTCTAGATGTTGCTCCCACATCTCCATCGACTGGTCTAAGCCGGGAAGCAGCAAGACCTGGAGGAAATGTGTTTGTGCCACTTAAGGAGATGTCAGTGGAAAACCTTCTACAAGCTTCCTCTCATGCCCTGGTGAAGGTACAGGTGCCCCGGGAGCAACTCTCTAGAGAGCGGGAGCAGATCCACAATGGCAGTTTTGGGGCTATCTATCGAACCAAGATGAACACCAGTGACCCCACTAAGCCCAAGAGTGTTGTCCTCAAGACTTTAAGAGGTAAAAGATGTGTTAGATTTTCGACTATGAATCTCTGAAAGTGCTAACAGGCGTTGCAGACATTGAGATGCTTTTAACAGATGTGATCACAATTGTGTGTAGGGTAAGAAGGGAATAGAAAGTGAAAGGCTTGAATCAGAATCTTTTTGGGGTGTTTTCCTAGCTCAATTTTTTAAAAAAGATTTATTTATTTATGCATACAGAATTGGAGTATAGGCCAGAGGTGTAGGTGAGAGGATTCATCAGAGACAGAATGAGGAGCGGAACAGGCAGATCAACTGAAATACACTGCTGAGGGGAGCAGCAGGCGGGACATGAGGGATCTGCTGTGCCATGTGGGTCATCTCCCTGGCCAGGGATCCAACTCATGCTGCAGTGGCTTTGGAGAGCTTCATAATGTGGTGCTTTAAACCGTTGCTCTACCAGGGAGGGCCCATGCAGCTCATTTTATCTACCAACACTGTTAGGACTAGGACTGACTTTTCCAAATAGAATATTCTTTGCACTGGAGGTTTGAGGTTGTCTTTAATTTTTCTTTTTATATATTATTTCAAATTTAAATTTTTCTTTCATATACTATTTAATATATTTCTCTGATACTGGAGTTCTCTTTTTTTGTTGATTACTCAATATTTGGGACAGTAATCATGGATACATAAAAAGAACAAGGGTAGAAGAGGCAAGAGTATTGATCAAAAGACCTGGTGTTATTATAATGTGATAGAACACTAGTTTTCTTTTTGGGGGGCATATGGGAACCTGCAACATTGTTCTAAGATCTGTGTTATTTTGGACCAAAGATCATGGACATGGAGGTCCCCCTTCCACTGACTTTTTGTCTCTTACTGTGCTGCGGGCTTTGAGACTTACAGTCTGAGGGTGCTTCCTGCCTTTTTATCAGTGAGGCTCTGACAGCTCACTCTCAGAGGCTCTTCTATTCTCCACAGAAACCGCAGGACTCCCCGAGGTGCAGGATTTCCTAGGGCGAATCCACTTCTACCAGTACCTGGGGAAGCATGAGAATGTGGTTCAGCTGGAAGGCTGCTGCACAGAAAGGCTGCCGCTCTACATGGTGTTGGAGGATGTGGCCAAGGGGGACCTGCTCAGCTTCCTCTGGACTTGTCGCAGGGTGAGCTGCAAGGGAGAGGGGTTTCTTGCCCATCAGCTGCTCACAGGTCACTTAACCAAAGGGGGAGGGGGGAGGTAGAGAGACTGTACAGTAGTCTAACAGGGTGACTGAGCATCACTATTAAGTAAAAAATGTTTTGATGAGAAAATGTTTTCTGCATGCTCCCTCCAATACGGCAGCCGCTAATCACATGAAGCTACGGAACCCCTGAACGGTGGTGCAGAAACTGTAATGTAAACTGCATTGGATTGTAATGCATACTTAGCTAGCCACATGTGACTTAGCTAGCCACATGTGACCGAGGGTTATCCTACTGGGCAGAGCAGATTTGGAACATGGACTTGGCAAGACCTACTCTGTGAGTTTGGGCAACTCAGCTTTTTGAGCCTTGAGTTTTCTGTATCTGTAAAACAGGAGTCATAAAGATCATTAAAATGAAATTACATTTATAAAACACAGCAGTGATTGGTACATAGAAAACCCTTCAAATAGTACCTGTTTTTTATTTAGTAGCTGTGGTATTGACCCTCAAAGTAACCTCTGTTATAATGCCTATAATTTCGTTGCTGTTTTATCAGTTGTATTCTTAGATTCTGGAACATCACTTTAGTAAGTGAGGGCTGACCAGAGGAGAAATTCAACTTGCAGGGTTTGTACTTCAAGCTCATATTTAAAAAAAAATAAATAAAAAAATAAAAAATGAACTGGTTAGAAATTTCCTGACCAAGGAGCAAGTCCTTTTCCATGCAATCTCTCTGCTTCTCACTATATTCCTCTGCTCCCTGTGGGCCCACATGTTCCCCTCACTGGTTCTTCACTTGCCAATGAGCAAGTTCAAAATGAATTGAGCCTCCTCAAAATGCTGAATATTGTACAATTACATGTATATGAAAACGTGTACCTTGACCTCTGCCACCTGGTGATGTAAACAGGACAATACACAAGTCTTTTGGGTATTTTAAACCTTTTCAAAAGGCCACCCATCCACAGCTTGTTCTGTACTCTAACCTCACTGGCTTCTCTTCAGTTTTCCAAGCTTCCATGCCTCTCAGCTTCAAATGATCTTCACACTGATTCCTTGTTATACCAAACTTCTCCTGTCACTTTTTAGCACAGTCAACACCCACTCTTCCTTCAGATCATATCAAAAGTTTTCCTTGTTTTTTCCCCAACAGAATCAGCTCTCTTTTCTCTGACACCAGATGCTTTTACATTTCTTTCGGGGCCATATGTATAGATATGTGACCGTATATTCATGTGTGATTATTTGATCCTGATTCACGTATGTTTGAGACACTTTAAGCTCTAGAAGACGGCGGACTTGTTTACTTTGCTCACTCTTGTACTCAGGGTTCCAGTGATAGAATCTGGCACATAGTAGGCATTCGATAAAGATGTGTTGCTTAATGTGCTTAAGCTCACTTTCTTTCTCTCATACACACAGCCCCAGAGAAAATGCTGCTGTTCCCAGAGAATAGATACCCAGTGGTGGCAGGCACTAGGGCAGAGCAGGCACAGGCTTTTAATGATCTTCCTGCACCTTTTGTAGTGAGGCAGTGAGGTGCAGGCCAGGCAGGGGCCCGAGGCCCAGAGACCGGAGGCCAGGAGTCTGGCAAATCTTTAATCTCTTTGGGCTTTCTGTGGCATTCTTTTGCAGTCTCTCCACTGCTATCCTCCACTTTCTGTGCCCCTGCCCTCTGCCCTTCTCCACCCTCTGTGGCACCGCCCTTAAAGGCTCAGTATCTCAGCTCAAGCATGCCCACTTGCACAAGACCACACCACACTCCAGGTGTCCACCATCAGGCAGCCGTACCCCGAGCCCACACTCCCAAGCGCCTCCTGCATGAAGGCCACACGTGACAGCTGCAGAGGCCGCTGAGGCCAACTGCGCAAAAGCTGGAGCATCTTCCTTTGTCTTGCGATAGTATTACAGAGGTTGTTATCTTTCCTGCTATTCTGCTCTGTCTTCACTCTGCTATTCAGCTACATTATTTACTGCTTTTCTTGTCCAATAAATCATATCTGGGAATCTCATATCAGTTTCTCCTTGACTCTTACTCCCTATGTTTATCTTTTTCTGAGTTATGATATCTGCATTGAGGATTATCTCTACTAGTTTCACTCACATGTGGACTATGGAGAAATAAAAGCAAAGGGTCAGGCAAAACCAAACCAAAACACACCCTGGAGATCTGATTGTAAAACTGAGGCTACCAGAGGGTGAGGATGGAGAGCAAAGTCGGAGAGGGAGCCCGGTGGACCAGAGTGGAGTGGAAGATTATGGGAACTGTCTTCCTCAAGGACGAGTTGTGGTGTTGGGTATGGTGTGAAAACATGCATTTGAACAAGTGTGAAATATACCTCTGAATTATAGTTAAAAAGTCAAGAATAGGGCCTCCCTAGTGGTGCAGGAACTCAAGTCTCAGCAGTACCAAGCTATTGCCAGCCACTGCAGCATGAGTTCGGTCACTGGCCCTGGAGGTGACTCACATGGTGCAGCAGACCTCTCCTATCTCACCAGCCTCTCCCGTCAGCACAGTGGATTTCAGTAAATCTCCCTGTTCTGCTCCCAACTCTGTCCCTGGTGAATCCTCTTACCCCCCACAACTCTGGTCTACACCCTAGTTCTTCTCTGAATGAATAAATAAAAAAATAATTCTTTAACAAAATAAATAAAAAAATAAGAATATCTCTGCCTCCTTTTTTAAATCTGCTCATGTCACTTTGATATAATGCTTTCTTCTCTGTCGCTTTAGGATTTGATGACGACGGATGGACTTCTTTATGATCTCACAGAAAAACAAATATATCACATTGGGAAGCAGGTCCTTCTTGCTCTGGTAAGAGTAGGCAAATGACAAAAGATGCTAGCGATTTTTCTTATTAGCCTAATGTATGATGTTATATTTCCCCCTTTTCTGTTTATATGTGTGTGTGTGTGTGTGTGTGTGTGTATGTATGTATCAGATGTTAGTAGACAGAAACTCATGCACTAATTGTTTTAGGTTCCTCCTTAATGAAATTAAGGTTTTTAGAAGGAACAGGAAGGATTCTGAAAAGTTTCTTGTTTGAAGATCAAACACCAAGATCAACACCATTTCCTTGATACTATTCCTTTCTCACAAATACTAGCAGATGTACAAGGGGCAAATTGAGCAGCAAGTTGAGAGAGGATATGGGAAGAGAAACTGAATGGGTGAAAGGTAACAGGCTGGAAAGGAGACAGTTTTATGTCTGAGAAAACAAGAACAACTAGTTCAGAACATGTTTGGGTGAGTTTTACTTTGATACTGAATATGATAGGAAACATGTAAACTTAAAAAAGACCAAAGAACAAGCAGGGGGAATGAGAAGGGACCACATAAGTTGGTTTATATTATATCAAACTTAAATAGAGAATTAAAGAAAGAACTCAGAAGTTAAGCAACAATTTATCTCTACCAAATGACTCAGGATATTTAAAGGAGTATTCTATGCAATTATGTAGGTAATTGTGTTTTCATCATTATATGCTATAGAAAAATCTGGTCTTTTTTTTAAATAGAGGTAAAGTTGGTTTTCAAAGCTGTGTGTGATTGAGAGGTAGAAGATGTCCCCTTTCATGTGTTGTTACCACATCACACCCTCCGACCGAACACCCCAGCCCTCTCCACAGGCCACTGTGCTCCCTCCCCGCTTCTTTCTCTCCTCCCACCTGTGGTAACCTCAGTATTTGATATATTTTGCCACCTCAAGATATGAAATTTACCAGGTCCTAAATGCAATCAGGGGATTTAGACAAAAGGCCTCAGAGGGAGGAGACCAGCAGGTACAGGCGCAGTTCCGCGGGGTGAGAGTGAACACTGCATCAGTGAGCACTCTGTGAGGGTGGAGGCGTTGTTAATGTGCAGTCCACAAGGTCAAGGTGTCAAGATACAGCCTCCTTTGTATTCTTAAACCTAACAGCAGAAGTGCCCCAAAGGGGTATGCTGAACGCATGGATGCCTTCAGCAGGGCTGTTGGTTACCAGTTTCAAGGCAATAGAAAGCTATTTTTTTCCCCTTAAATTTTAACCATTTCAATCAAATTTTAACCTCTGTAATTTTTCTCATGACAGTACACTTCCTTTGTCCTAAAGTCTCACTGTTTCCTTTCTCATCATGGATTGGAAATTCTACCATCACCTTCACCTTTTATTATTATTGTTAAACCTCTCATTCTTGTTTAGTAACCTCCAGCTATTCAGCCACATGTATCTCCTCCAGCTTTTTCACATGCCTTTCATGGCTTGGTGTTGGGGGCATCACTGTGGCAGCTCAGATGTGATGGTTCTCCAATGCCTGTTGATTGCATTTTGCTATTTCTTGAAAATATAGATTACTAGGTCCTTCTCCCTAGAATTTGGTTAGGTAAATCAGGGTGAAAAATCTTGTGTTTTTTGAAAAGCACTGGCTTGAGAATTATTAGCAGATTTTGTAGTGGTGCTTATGAACTAAAATATCTGGTACCACATAATAATTGGGTGGCCTTGTGGATAAACATTTATATTTCTTTCTAAAAGTTACTCCTTAATTCACTTCACCTCCTTATTTTAGGGACAGAAGGAGATGATGGAAACTCTTTATACAAATTCATTACTATGACACTCAATTCTACTATGCCTATTTTACCTTATCTTGGAGACAGCTGCTAAAAACTTACCATTTGCCCCCTTTTCCAGGATTCAGCTGGCTCCTATCTGACAGGAGTGTGAAATCAGGCAGGAGTGAGGGCTTGACACAGAGTAAATGATTATACTTTCCAAACATAGGATTAATCTTATTTGGATTATTTGCGCAGTTTGATAGTCCTAAACACAGTGTAAACACGTTTGACTCATCATCATGACTTGGAAGTGCTATGTCATTATTACTGAGACTTGTTCAGGGTAGGAAATGTCCCTGTCTTTTTCAGTATTGCTAAGACTGCTTCTGGTCTGTGACCCACACTGTCACTTCAGACAGCTGATCCATCTTTGATCTTATGTTGATAGGAATTTCTCCAAGATAAGCATCTGTTCCATGGGGACGTGGCGGCCAGGAACATTCTGATCCAGTGTGATCTTACTGCTAAGCTCTGTGGATTGGGCCTGGCTTATGAGGTTCACACCCGCGGGACCTCCACTCGCTTGGTACCATTCAAGTGGCTGGCCCCAGAACGGCTTCTGCTGAGACCTGCCAGCATCAAAGCAGACATGTGCGGTTTGTTCCTATCCTGTGGATTTCTAGGGGTCCTCGATGGGAGCCCCTTGTAGGGGTCCCTGAACATGATGGGGTCTGTTGTCCATCATGTCTAAAGTGAAATCTCTATTAGAAAGTCAGCCGGACTCACAAGCAGAAATGCATGCTGTATTACAGAGTTCCTATCTGCCTCTGACTGTAATCCTTTCTAGTGTCTTTTAAAGTATTCCTTCTGTATTAGATTAACAATCTCAATTAGGAGGGAAAAAGGGAAAAGATTATTCACCCCATTATCTGCTGACTTAATTGGGTAGAGTCCCTTTTATCTGGAAGATGGTCTACTTAACCAAAAGTCTAATTATACCAGGAATTATTAAAATAACAAGAAACATGCATACCTCCATTATTTATTTTAATCAAAGACATATAAGTGCAGATTTATGTATGGATCTTTTAGAGGAGAAGTAAGGCTGTTCTTATGAGAATGGACCTGCTAAATGAAGTCTATTTTCAGTGTGTCTCCATAATAAATGATTTGGAGATTTAATTTGGCATGATTCTAGGTACAGTGAAACCTGAAAGCAACTGCTGCTTCACAGGTTGCAGATTTTTGTTTTTATTTTTTCCAGTTTTCTATAGCTGTTGTGCCCACACAATTTGACAACACTTTCTTTGTGGTGGTTTATTTTTATGTTTTCAGAGCATTCAACCTTTTTTGCGCGTTTATTTAATCAGCTTAAAGAATATGTAGCTGTTTACATAGTGACAGTCACATAAATGATAAAAAGGGATTGTAAAGAATTGCAGTTGACTTTTGGTAGCTATAAAACTCAGTGCTTAGCGAAGCACACTGATATCACATAGGATTTCTGACTAGCCATGGAAGTCATGTGCAGTGGAGAAAGTTTAGAAAGTCAGTTAATATGCTGAGTCATTAAGAGACATCCATTCCCTGACATCTGCTTATCAGTGGAGATCTGGCAGTCAAAAGCTTAACTGTGCAATTTGCTCATTTAATATTGGTATTTTAGAAGAGAAATCTCTCTCTCTCAAATTATATTATTTTGGAAATAATATAGGCTCTAACTAGGTAGAAAGCTTGCTGTTTTAATACTGTCCTAGATTTGGGCAATAAGATCAATGGAGGGACCAGTAGATACACAAGTTTCCCTTGGCCTTGTACTAAAAGGAGGCTGGAATTTCAGCAGGAAGGAATGCATAGAAAGGATGAAAAAGATGCAGAGGTGTTTTTCTGTCTGGGTGAATGTGCTTGCCCAAGGACACTCACAGTGTCACAAATAATAGTAAAATCTATTCATGTGAGATACGGAAGATAGGAGACAGAAATCCAATTCTCAATAGGAATAGATACTTTGAAAAGGGGTTTGGACAGAAATACTTTCTAATGGTATTATTATTTTGCTCCTTTTATCAGACACCTTCAGCTCCTCTTCACTGCCTTCTTTGTGGGCCTCTGATATTAAAGTGGGCTTTCTTTGGGAAAGGCTGAACAAGGAATTCAGTAAATGGCTTTGTTTCTTTTTATAGCTGGTCCTTTGGGATACTGCTGTATGAGATGGTGACTCTAGGTAAGAGAAACCCCCACGAGGTGTGTAAATGTGTATGCAAATAAGCAAGTGTGTTTCTCTGGGTGTGAATGACATGCCATCAGAAGGGTCTCAGGGTACTGGACTGACACAGAATCCAAACTGGTTTCTAAAAAGGTTTTCTAATGTGGTTTCCTTCCATCCCTGCACCTTCTTCACTCTCCTCCTTCATCTTTTCTCTCCCACTCTCCTTCCCTCCCTCCTTTCTTGGGATGTTTTAAAGGCTAAAGGATAGTCCAAAACTGACTTTGACTAAACATGAAAATGTTATCTTCTGACCAGTTGGCCCACTTGGCTGATCAACTGCAGCATCTTCCCCTGTTTGGGGAGTGGAGGGCAGGTCTTACTGTTCACTTCACTGATTTTGCTAAAGACGCAGTACTCTCCTAAGTGATCTTTTTTCTATCTAGCCACCTCTTTGCCAAAATTCTCTGCTCAACCACCAGGGAACAGCTGCACTGTGGACAGTGCACTAGACATCTTCCCAGGGCCAGCTCCTCTGTGGACAGTCAGCCCAGGTGGAGGGAGAGTAGTGTTACTGATAGTTCATGTTGCCAAGGACCCTGAAATTCTCTTGCTACTCTCCTTTTTTCCATATGCACAGGGGCACCACCTTATCCTGATGTTCCTCCTACAAGCATCTTACAGCACCTCCAAAGAAGGAAAATCATGAAGAGACCCAGCAGTTGCACACACAACATGTAAGTGGCTTTTAAAGACCTACTACTCTCTCATTCCAAGCCTTTTTTGGCTCTACACTGATTACGCCCATTTCAAAGTGCATATCTCTGTACTGATACACAGATTTGGGTCAAACAAACCTATATGTGTGTGTATGTTTAGGAATAGATGTATATACAGACATATACAGAGACCTATATACATATATACATACACATATATAGGCAAGTATATATATGTGTATATATGTGTATATACCCACCTAATAAGAACTACATTAGGAATCTAAGTTTGATAAATTTAGTTCTCTGGGAATCTTATAGTTAAAAAAACAGACTAAATCCAATGCAAATATAGTAGAGTTTTTTCTAAATGTCAATCTTTAGTTCTAATATAGCTGCCATAAAATGAATTGCACTGGAGTTGCTGGCTATTATTTAATATTTAACTTAAAGAAAAAAAAAAAAACTACCGACCATCTGTTTTCCAGTTTTGCACATGTTAGAAGGTCACAACTAGAAGAAGGAGGGTAAGGAGAAATTAGGAAGACAGAGTACCTAATATTGCCAGCACAAAGAGATACTTGGTAAACCAATGTAGAGGTAAAATGGAACTTGCAAATTTATACACAGAATTTCATAATGACTACAGTACAAAACATATTGTTAGAGCACATAAGAAAAGGTTAGAGTTTAAGAAGGCAGGAGAGAGAATACTAACATATTTCTATTAAAATTATTGTGGTGTTGTACATTTTCCAGCATTGAAAGGGTAAATTTCTCTACAATAAAGCAGTTATAGTATCAAGCAAATTATGTTAAATTATATTATATATATATGTACACATATACATATATAATATATCTTCCTGGTAGATAAGTTACAGCAATCATCTGGAATACTGTAAGTTAGTAATATCCAAAAGTGAAGAGGACACTTAACTTCTGAGAGTGTTTGGCAATAGAGAAAAAAAAAAAAAAAACTGTTCTGTTTTACTGTTGTGGTTTGAGAAATACTCGGTCATTCCTCTTATACAAAGCACCCTATGGAAAAGATGACCATAAAGACAGAATTAAGAAAATAAAAGCGTGTGTCATTCTCTGGAAATAATCAGACAGAGCAATCGAGAATTAGATGAAAGAACCGCAGGGTTGTGCTAAGGCTCCATCTGCCCGCCAAGGAAGTCACTGTGCTCCATGCACTTTCAGGTACAGCCTGATGAAGTCCTGCTGGCGCTGGAGTGAGGACAGCCGCCCTTCGCTGCAGGAGCTACGCCTGCGCCTTGACGCTGTTGCCCGAATAGCAAATGACAAGGCTGTGCTGCAAGTCCCAGAGCTGGTGGTGCCGGAAATGTACGCAGCTGTGGCAGGTGTCAGCGTGGAGAGCCTCTCCTACAGCTGCAGTGCATTCTGAACAGCTGGGCTCACCCCACTTGTGGGACTTCACGTACTGTTGGAACCAATTCCTCCAAGAAGGGGGATTAGACTTTCTGGTGGGACTTAAAGGGAGCAACGGGACACAGACCCAATCCTCCATCAGACATGACCCTGGCTATCTGCAGTGATGTTACGCGCCAGATACCCTCAAAGCAGAGGAAGAATTTCATTGCTGCTGCCCCAACCCTAATGGCCTAGGGTGGGAGTTGTGGACAGTGTCACTTCCAAGGATGTTTTAGAGTTCTGCAGTGTTTGTTAGGGCATGGCACAGAGAAGCTGGGCCCGCCAGACTGTAGGCTACTTTTCCTCCTGAAGTATGATTTCATCCAGGCTGTTGTTAGATGCAAAGGAATTAGAATCAAATGAGGGGATAGAAAGCCAGCAAAAGGGTTGAAGAGCAAGAAAATGAAAAGCCTTAATCTCAGGAGTAAGATGTGACCAGGCTGTCCTTCAAAGAAAAGGGAGAGGGAAAATGGGAAGTTCTGCATTCCTGGTCCCTGCATGCCGGGCTGGAGGAGAACCGTGAGGGTCAGGTTCCCTCAGAACAGGCAGTCTTCTATCTAATTCAGGGACAGGTGAACTATTGGCACGACTCTCAGCTAGAAGCCACGCTGGTCATTTCATGATGGGAAACACTCAACATGTCTGTCCGCCAGGCGAGCCCCTGCTCCCGTTGACTAGAGACACAGAGCCCTCACAGCCTGTCAGGGCGGTGATGGAGCTGTGTGGGTATTATAAATAGGAATGTGGAGTGCAAGCAAGCAGAGACCAGGCCTTTAAAAAGGGCCAGAAAGAAGGCAACCAAACCGGAAAGAAGGGGGCCTTCCAATTTCCGGGTCTCCATTGATGTACTGTGAAACTCATTTCACTGAGGTGAAGTAGGGTTTTCTGGTATTCAGGTGCCAAAATATATACAGAAGGGAAAAATAAATAAATGAAAGTTAGCACCACTAGAATAATTCAAGAGATAATCTGCTTTGTCAGAAAAGGGGTTCCCATGTGTAAAATAGGGGTGTGGGGGACAACTTCTCTTACAGGCTCGTTGTGAGGACTGAATGAAAAATATTTGTATAGGATCCTACACAGAGTATGTGTTCAATAAATGTTGGTGTCCTTTCTTTTCCCTTGACTATCCTAAAATCTTTCCTGTCTTTTTTTTATCCACTATCTACTGTGCCAAGAAGAAAACTGAATGTGAGGACTGAATGAAAAATATTTGTATAGGATCCTACACAGAGTATGTGCTCAATAAATGTTGGTGTCCTTTCTTTTCCCTTGACTATCCTAAAATCTTTCCTGTCTTTTTTTTTATCCACTATCTACTGTGCCAAGAAGAAAACCTGTACTATCAGTCACAGGCAGAGCAGGTTATGCCCAAGATGATGGCTCAGGCATCATATGACTGAAATGATTTAGTCGCTATTTGTATGTGAGCTTCTGGGTGACAGTCACCCTACTATTTCAAAACATTAAAGCATACTGTGATGATAATTCAGTTGAATGTGGTGACAGCTTTTTAAGAACACTCACTGGGTACTGTGTGTCAGGCTGCTGCAGGAATGCTGTGGTTGAAAACTCTGTACAACTTAGAATCCTGATAGAGGGAGTGATGATGCGCCATCCAACAGAAAAATGATTCTCACACAGGTGGGAATACCAAGGCAACTAGTTAGGATTTAAGTGGGTGGTAAGTGGCAGTAGGGAGGTGGAGTAGCTCTGCACAGTGACGAAGCCATAAAGATTCCGTTGTTGTTTCTCAGCTATTCATTCAAGTCAAATTTACAAAATATTGTTTACTCAGGGGCCTTTCTGCTGGTGGAGGGATAAAGTCTCAGCACTAGTAAGCTATCATCAGCCCCTGCAGCATGAGTTTGAGCCCCTGCCAGAGAGCTGACCCTCTTGGCACAGCAGACCTCTCCTGTCTTGCCCGCTGCTCCCCTCAGTAGTATATTTTGGTTCATCTGTTTTGCTCCCCACTCTCTCTGGTGAGTCCTTCCCCCCCTCCACCTTTGTGCATAAATAAATGTAAAAAAAAAAACACCCTAAAAAACGTATATTGTTTAATCAAACATTTTTAAAGACTGAGTTGAGTGTTAACATCTACTATGCCAGATGCTGTGTTAGATTTTAGATAAAAGCAGCAGCTTTTGATTAAGTCTAGAGAGTGACACTTTCTATATGGACTTGTGTGGACATTTGTTAATTACAAGTTGTGGTAGGTGCATAGTAGTTACTTTAAATTTTTACATATACTTTTATTTTTCTGGATATGGGTATGGAAAATAAGGCAGTAATTGCTGACTCTAAGGAAACTGGGTCTTTCCCTTACTTGGCCAGGCTTTTTCCAAAAGGGGATTGTATTTCTGTCATTTTGATCTGTAAGCTAAACCATGTATTTCCAAGCTAACAAATGGGGAAAAAAAATCTCAATTTAGTTAAGTTGAATCCAGGTTAGGTCTTGTTTTATTATTTTGATTGTCTCTTCTGTCAAATTTGTTTTTTCTATCAATGCTTTATTTTTGAAAAACTTTCCAGTATAGCTAGGAACAGAACATACACCTTTATGGGTGTAGAGTCTAAACAATGTTCAGTGCAGTTTCACTTAGAATAGTCTGAACCACTAGTTCTCAAATTATGCTCATGCATTTTCATACTACAGTTTGGTATTTAGTTATTATTAGTCACAAAAAGACAAATTCTGGATGTTGTCCCATTTATGTGGAATATAGAGAAATGAAACAAAGAGTCAGATAAAGCCAAGTTAATAATAAACCTCAGAAATCTGACTCTGAAGGTAGACTACCAATGGAGTGTGAGGAGGGGCAGAAACAAAGTTAGGAGGTGCACAATGGAGTCTGGTGAAGGACTATGGGTATTCTGGTGGTGGGTGTGGTGTGGTAACAACACCTGCAGGAAGAGATTCTGTGTCTCTAGAGCACTAACAACAATGTAAACTAGTGTTACCTCTTCGCTCTCTTCAGTATTTTCCACCTTAAGCAAAAGTGTATCTTACATAAGTAGCTTCACTGTACAACATGGTAGCCAACAGCTAACTTAGCTATTTAAATATTATCTAAATTCAAGCAAATATTTACACATAAACATTCAGTCCCTTTGTTTTACTTGTCATGGTTCAAGTGTTCATTAGCCATTCAGAATATTTCCACATATCTTGAAGAGCTCACAGCACAAACACTTCATCCCTTTGCCATTCTTATTATGATATAAGACATACACATTTTGGCATTTTGGGGAGTCGAAATATATGAAGGGTTATGTAAATATATTCTCACATTTCATCTTAAAAATAGTGTGAGAGATTACCCTTAAGCTTAGAAATCTTTTTGGCAGATGAAGACAGTCATTGGCTCACAGATAAAGATCTGAACATGGTGCACCCAAGGTTTTGTTGACACCTTCACAGCTGTGGTATGATAGCTCTGTTTAGGTAGGAACGAAGACAAGCAATGGCAAATGTGCCAGAGATCTGAAGGGAATGTAATAGGAACACTGAAGATTCTGATTCTGAATGAGGCTTCTTCATACAAAAACTAAAACAAATGGATTACTGCTTAAATTTTCAAAGGTATAGGATATTGTGGCCAAAGTGAGTTATTCTTTGAATACATTAATCACCGTAACTCAGTTTGTTTGGAACTCTGAAGGTTTTAAATCTGAAAGTCCCACATCCTGGGAAACTTTTTAGTCCTGGACAAACTGGAACAGCTAGTTACCTGAAGGGTTGGTAAAGGTTCTTTAAGCTTCTTATGTGTTTTTCACAATGGCAGTGTAGGCAGACCGAATAATTTTTCAAAAACCTATTTTTTTAGGTTGATTTATTTATGCATACAAGAGCTGGAATACAGGCCAGAGGTGTGTGTGTGGGGCGGGGAGGGTGAGAAGATTCACCAGAGACAGAATGGGGATCTACTGAAATACACTGCTGAGGGGAGCAGTGGGGTGGCAGAAGAGGTCTGTTTGAACTCATGTGCAGTGGCTGCCAATAGCTTAATGGTGATGAGACTTAACCTTTTGTGCCACCAGGGAGGCCATGGATATTTCTTTATATTAAGTTACACAACTGTTCATAGAGATTCCTGCAGTGACAGATATATGATTGTTTCATGTAGACGCAACATAACCTGGCCCAGTCTACCACAGGACCCGTCATTCCACTTCTATGAACTTTATGTTCCACCTACTCTGAATTGACTTGCCCAAACCATACACTTTCACAAGGTCTTTGCTCAGGCTATTTTCTTCCTCAGGTGCTTTTACATCCCTCCCAACACATCCCAACACAAGCTTAAAGATAGTGATTCGACTATCCCCAAGGTCCAATTAAAACAGCTCATCATGTTACAAGCCTCCTCTGACAGTGCCTTTTTTTTTTTATTTTACAAAAGTTTATTTTTACATCATTTTGTACATTTTTTTTCCATCTCAATTGTAATCCCTGAGGGTTTCCCATCACCAAGTCACCCGTGTGCCATCACCATAATCTCGTGCATTTCCCTCCCCACCCCCCCTTTTTGATCCCATTCCCCACTCCACCCCTGCAAAATGTCTCTGGTATATGGTTGTTCATTATTTTTGTTATTTTCTCGCCTGGTCCATTATACTCCTGCTATGAGTGAAACCATCCGGTATTTTTCTTTCTCTTTCTGGCTTCTCTCACTAAGCATGATCTTTTCCAGCTCCATCCAAGTTGCTGCAAAAGACATGTGTTTCTCTTTTTTGGTTACTGAGTAATATTCCATTGTATATATATACCACATCTTTTTTATCCAGTCATCTACTTTTGGGCATTTGGGCTGCTTCCATGTTTTTCCAATTATAAAGCAGCAATAAACATGGTGGTACAGGTATCTTTTTCAATCAGTGTTTTTGTGTCCTTTGGGTAGATACCTAGGAGTGGGATTGCTGGGTCGTAGGGAAGCTCCATGTTTAGCAGTTTGAGGAACCTCCAAGCAGTTTTCCATAGTGGTTGTACTAGTTTGACAGTGCCTTTTAATCAACATTCCCTCTTCTGCAATAACGTGATTGCTTCCTCTACTGTACTATCAACACTAAAAAAAAAAAAAAATTCTCATAGCAACTGATCCCTTATTTTAATCCCTTGTTTGCGCTCTTTGCTAACTTGAGCCAAAGTGCAAAGAGTTCTATTTTTTTTTTATTACTGGTGCGAACCATTTCTGCAATACAGGACTGTTTGTTAAAACACTGGTTTTATAAATGATAACACTTTTTTACCTACATATCTCATTTGATCTCAACAATTCTGTGAGCTTGTCAAAGTTGATGGTAATATATTCATTTGTTTGATACACAACTTAGAGATAGTGATTTGACTATGGTTAAGTAGAGATAAGTGTTTGGAATGAAACACAGGTTTTCTGACTGCCACTCTACTAAATTCCATGGAAAGTTTAAGGCCTTCAACAGACAGGATTGCTCTGTTAGTAAAAGAATGAAGTATCTGAAAGACAGACTGTAAAAGTTTACCTTCACCTCCTCACACTGCATAACCGACCTACCCTGAAACACTGGAACATTCACTTACTGTCATTATTTCATTCTATCTGATAAGAAGTATGGGGTAAACATTTGATTTTAAGGCAAATTCCCAAAACTCTATAGGTTATTAAGGTTAACTCTTACTGAATGAATGTCGCATCTTTCTTCTTCTTCTTCTTTTTTTTGAAAGAAACTCATTCATACCTTGGCTGCCAGGGATTTCCAGAGTGCCACGCAAACTTTCAGACCTCTTGTTTTCCAAACTCTTTCTACTTGGACTCTATTGCTGTAGGCTTCCGGCCTCTGGCAACTTCACAATCATGGGCCAAAGAAGAAAGCCACATGTTAGGACTCCAGCTGGAAAGAAGGGTTGTATTCCAGGGCTGTCCTTGATGTAGCGCTTCATTGTAAGTCAACCCCCATTTAAAGTGGGAAAAGAAAAAAATCACACCCACCTCACTAGCCAATCTTTGTTGTAAGCCCATAAACACGCTACTAGATTTCACTTTCCCGATCCTAAACAAGCTACTAGATTTCACTCTCCCGATCCTTCTAAAGAGAAGTTGGCGTGGCCAACTTCACCGCGCTCCAGGGACGCCACCTGCCGGCTTTCCCCCGCGCGCTCGGAGGCGACAGGGCGCGCACGGCCAGTGACGCACTGATCGGGCGACTGACGTCACTGCCGGGCGCCGGTGGCACGTTGGCCGGGCCTTCGCGGGCTTTCCCTGTGGTCAAAATGGCTATGGCCAGCGACTTCTACCTGCGCTACTACGTAGGGCACAAGGGCAAGTTTGGACACGAGTTTCTGGAGTTCGAGTTTCGGCCAGACGGTGAGCGGAGCAGGAGCCGCCGGCGCTCGGCGGGGCAAGGGAGCGCGAGGCCGAGAGGCCGCGGAGGAGGCGGGGTCGCCTTGTCTTTGTACCGTGGGTCCTGAGGCCCCTGCTTGAGCCGAAGCTCAGAGACCTCAGAGTATGGGAGTTGTAAGTTAGTCTTATGAATCAAATGGAATAAATCGGTGTAAATTAGTTCAGAAGATGTAAACCAGATACTGAGAAGTTCAACCTGTAGTAAGCAGAATTCTAGAATTAGCACACTAGAAGGGCCTCCCAGACCATCTAGTTGATTGGCCAAATAGGTGAACATTTCAAAGAGCATCATTACCACGCTGTGATTCAGTGGATGCTTAAAATCTCTCGTATTCATTCAGGTTATGCATATAAGGCAGCGGTTCTAAAAAGCCCAGGGCGGCTGTCTCTGAAGTTTGGGGGTTGTGTGTGTGTGTGTGTGTGGGGGGGCGGTCCTCTATGTGTAGATAAGTGAGCAAAATGATGTATGTATTTTGGGTGCTTAAGTACGGATCTTGTAAGGTGCATCAAGAATACAGGAAAGGGGAGTGGCTAGTTCTACACAGTCACGGAGAACTTCCTAGAGAAGGTGACTGATCAGTCTTGAAATGAGAGCGGTATTTTCTTGTTCTTTGAAGGAAAAAAACAGTCAGAATGCTGAGAGCAGTGTGGACAGTGTGTGACGCGACGGGGCCTCTTGTCCTTGTGGTGTGGCAAATTTTGTCTTTAATTTTCTTTAGAAAGTGCTGTTACATATGTATGAGCTCTTCCTGCTATCAGGACAGTCTATGCACACATTTTTTGAATGGTAAATGCATTCTAGGCAACATGTAAATACAAAAATTTGAGGGTACAGTTATGAGTAATATGACTTTAAATTTCCCTTAAGAGGTTATTGCTTTGGTAGGGAATGGAGACATGAAACTAAAGGTAGAGCGGTAGAGATCTACTCAATGCTGTGTCCACCCTCTGGACAAAGTTTTGTGACACCATGAAAGAAAAAGTAGGGGAGGATCATATATTGGAAAAGGGGTAGAGTGTCAGGTATTTCAGGCAGATCACAAGGTAGTTGTGATCCTGCACTTTTCAGAAACCTTAATCACCTTAATTTTCCTCAGGTCTCTTCCAAATTTTTTTTTTAAAGATTTATTTATTTATTCATTCGTACGGAACTGGGGTACAGGCCAGAGATGCGGAGGGTGAGAGGCTTCACCAGAGACAGAGTGGGGAGCAGGACAGGCAGATATACTTAAAAACACTGCTGAGGGGAGCAGTGGGTGGGTCAGGAGAGGTCTGCCTAGCCATGTGGATATCTCCTGGGGGCAGACAGGGATCGAACTCAGAAGTGGCTTAAGCTTCTCAGTGCTGTGCTTTAACCTGCTGCGCCACCAGGGAGGGCCCAGGTCTCTTCCAAATTTAAAGAACCAATTTACTTGACTTCTTCATCTGTTCTTTCCTTTGTGGCATTGTTCCTCTGCCATAGCGGTAAACAGCCTTCATCTTGCTGGTACCACCTTTGGCTTGTCACACAAATGAAATAGTCTCATATTATGAGGGTAGTTTCATGCTAGAACACATTCTCAGCCATATATCTGCCACTGTATCATTTCATATCCTTTCATCAATGACAGTGTTTCCTAAGGCATTCACCTCACTAGGGTAACCTGTCATTTTAGAGGATCAGGACCAGGAGACACTTGTACCTGAGCAACTGACTAGCCATGAAGAAAAGCATCAGGAAGTAAAAAAGTTGTGATGGATGAAAATTAAATAACATCAGCCACCAAGTTGGTCAACTTTTATTCAGAAGCAGTACGTAGTTTGTGTGCTTCTTAGTCACAGTTTTAAAATATTACCATTGTTATTGTATCTCTACATTCATTTGATGAAAATAATTAAAAGACTGGGAGCCTGGGAAAGCATGAGTATTGGAAGAAGGTAGCTCTGAAGCTAGATCTGAGTCTTTGACCCTAGACAAGTTACACTTTTCATCTGAATAGGAGAAAGAATAAACACTAGTTTCTGGTGTTTTTACAGATTAGATGAATTTATCTGAGTGAATTACTTAGTACTAATATGAACATATAACTTAAACTTGTAATGTTCTGTTTTTGGATTCCCTGTCTAAACGTCATGATACAGCTTAAGAAAATGGGCTTTTGGATTCCCTGTCTAAACTTCATGATACAGCTTAAGAAAATGGTGGTGGTTAAGTCTCAGCATTATGAAGCTCTTGGCATGAGTTTGATCCTTCGCCAGAGAGCTAACCCACATGGCTCAGCAGACCTCTCCTGGCCCGTCTGCTGCTCCCCTCAGCAGTGTGTTTTCAGTAGATCTGCCTGTTCTTCTCTCCACTCTGCCTCTGGTGAATCCTCTCACACCCTGCACTTATGGCTTGCATCCCACCTCTTGTATACATACATAAATAAATCTTTAAAAAAAAAGAAAAAAAGGGCTTTATAAATGACCTTATTATATTGAATTCTTAATATATCGAAGGCATGAAATTTTAAAAAAATTATATCACATTTAAAAATTATATTGAAGGCACAGAATGTTAAAGAGATTTGACTAACTTCAACTTTCCAGCAAATATTTGAGTGTCCATACACCTAGCATTGAACTTATAGTAATAGGAGAAAATATTAATAAAAGTATTGGTTAAATTGGTCTTTAGCTTCAAAATTGCTTATGAGGTCATTTATTTATTTGTAAAGCAGTTTTTGCTGTTTTAGACTGATTTTTAAAAAAATTATGTTTCAGAATAATTGATGTTTCTCACTCCCTACAGGAAAGCTTAGATATGCCAACAACAGCAATTATAAAAATGATGTCATGATCAGAAAAGAGGTAAGTTTTTCTGAATGTCTAAGTTTTTACATTTAGATGTTCAAAGTATTTCACAACTGTCATTTTACACTATTCACTAAATTGATAATGATGAATTTAACACCATATGAATTTTATGTGAAAAGCTCAAAAAGTAAAGTTCAGTGCGCTGTGACATGTACATGTATGGTCTCCATTCTCTTAGACTTTGTGCTGTACCTTTAACCTCTTAGAGATATTTGAGTTTCATCTTACAAAGGCAGAATACAGGATTTTGAAAGGAGGTTAATGATGTGAAGGTGGGGAAATATATTTCAAAGGAAAAATAAGACTGAAGAAAAATCGTTAAGGATGAATGATTCCCACCTAAATTTTTGGAATCAGAATTACATTTGTCTGCAATACTCTATTTGAATATTCAAGGTTTGTTAACTATGTTTTGTCATTTCCCTCTGATTTGTGGGACTTTGAAATTTTTATTATAACTCTTTTTCAGGCTTATGTACATAAGAGCGTAATGGAGGAACTGAAGAGAATTATTGATGACAGTGAAATTACAAAAGAAGATGATGCTTTGTGGCCTCCCCCGGACAGGGTTGGCCGACAGGTTTCGTACTTAAAGATTCTTTAAAGCATAAATCTGATTGTTATACCTTTCCTTACTTATTTGGAATAAATCCTTAGGTTTTCCATTTACTAGGCATCTGGTAAATATTCTTCTATTTTAATTACCCTTGCCATTTTCTAGTAGTAATGAAGTCATTGCCTCTCTAAATTTAGGCATCTTTCTGAGCAGTCTTAGTCTTCCCAGCCAAAGTTAGTCTTCATACAGTCATGAACAGTTTCAATACTATGTTAACCACTTTTATGAGATGTAAGTGCAAGTATTTGTTAAATTTGGGAGTTAGGATTCTCACTAACTATAAAATACAATTTCTCCAAATTTATAACTAAAAGTTCTTACTTTTATTTTTAGCCCATAAAGGGCATTTAATTGGTTTCTTTGTTCAAACTGACCATTGCCTTTGCTTTCCATGTTCCCTTCAGAGTACTGATGTTTCTTAAGGGTTTCTGAAGAACTCCTAAGGAAGCCTAAGTAGACTTAATTTCGCTATAGAGCCATTTAACTTCCTAACTCTTGGAGACATGAGATGTGACCCCTGGTGGAAGAAACATTTAATTTCACTTCTGTGTGTTTCTAAGGACTATACTTTGTATCATCTTTGACTAGAAGAAAATGAGGAGAAATCTAACATGCTGACACACTGTATAGTAACTTACTTAAAGAACCATGATGTAGGAAATATTTAGCAATGCAAAGGTAATAGTTAATGGCATATTATACATTGTAGACACTTAATTGATGTTTGTTTTATGCAGATGTCCATAAATACTACAAAACAAACAATAGTAGCCAACCTTTGCTTTCTTTTAGATTCAGAGAACCCAGTGATTTTATCTACCCACTTTATCATGTTTTTATATGTTTTGGTTATTGGGGAGAATTAGGCATATTCCAGAAATTGTGGTGGACCTTTAAATCAAAGACTTTACGATTATTTCAGAATTTTAGTCATTATGTGTGTGTCATTTATTGTTCAGACTCTGTTAATTTAATCTGAAATTAATCCAAAATTAATGGACTCTTAATGTAATCTGAAAAAAAATTATCACTATAGACAGAGCCTTTCATTATTGGTTTTAGATTTGCAGGTAAATGATCAAGAACAATTTATGCACTAAATGGGCACAGGAGGAACATTATGCTGTATTTTATTTGTTTTACTAATTGTTAATTATTTTGTGAAGTCAGAGGATATCAGTCTTTAAGACTTACAGTCCAGAATTCAAATATCAGTACCATCATTTATTAGTGGTTATAAATATCAACAAGTTTTTTAAACTATGTTTTGTGATTCTTGGATTCACATTTGTAAAATCAGTCATCTATATGATAAGGGTATTTTAGGGATTTCATAGAATGTTTGCAAAATTCCCTGAAGCAGAACCTAACACATGCATAATAACACAGATGCTGTTGTTATTATGCATTTCATTTGTTTATGAGTTTATTTAAAAGTCTGCAGGAAAGGGTGACTGTTTATTGTATTAAAAATAGGTTTGTATCCACATTATTTTTACATTGTGCTTCAAAGTGATACCTTTAGTTTTTATAGACATTATAAGACATGTTCGTGTGTAACTTTTTAAGTATATCATTAATTTCACAGTATCCTCTCAATGCGATTTAAGCTGTTTTTGTTTGATCTTCATACTGTGGGCTCTTTAGCAGTTGATGAGATTTTTATTTTACAGTTTATATATAACATATCAAGTTGCTTTCATTTTTCTCTCCTCCATAACTGCTGTAATTTGTAGCTATAATTGACATTTCCTGGTAGCAAGAATACAGCTATCTCTGGGATGGATTTTTGTATTAACTACATTTCTCTTACATTTTTTTTCAGGAGCTTGAAATTGTAATTGGAGATGAACACATTTCTTTTACCACATCAAAAATAGGGTCTCTTATTGATGTAAATCAGTCAAAGTGAGTATGTTAAAGTATTTTGATTAAATTGACCTATTAGGTTCATTTTAGAAATATTACCAATTGATAGCATGTTTTCAATGGTATATCAATTTTATTATGCAGATGTAATTCTGATTTTTGTGTCATTCAATACTTGCTATCAAAGAAGTTAGCTGTACATTTTACTGATTGTCACATAATACTTATCCTTGGGTTTAATATTTGAAGGAAATGGGAAAACAATCCATGAGATTGTTAAAAGTGTGGCTTTAGCTACCTTTATCTTTGTTACTTCTATGACTTTAACATTTCCCATTTGTCTTTGTCTGAAAATCTGCTTCAGTATTTTCTTTCCTCTTGTTTTCTCAAAATAGCCTCAGAGTGCTCTTTTTCCTATCCCACTAATTTGTAATAACTTATTTGTTCACTTTACTGATTTGAATGTAAACTGCATGAGAACCTTGCTAGGTGTCTGGCAGAGGTACTTTATAAATAGATATTAGAGGAAAAGAGAAAGGAATGAATGTGCAGTAACTATTGGATACAAAAGACTATGTTCATAAGTACTGAACAAATTTTTTAAACTAAATTATTTCCCCATTGTTAGTGAGAATGTGGCATTCATACCTCCCTGGTTTTGTAAATTGTTAATATTTCCGAGAAGCAATTTGATAATATGCATCCAAAGCTGTTAATATTTTTCATTTATCTTGCCCAAGTTATTTTATTGATAAACATCTGTTCTGGGGAAATATGAGAAGACTTTATTATTCATGAAGATGTTCATTGAAGCCTTTTTATAGTTGGGGACATACTCAGTTTTGTTTAACAAGGGGAGAATTGTTAAAATAATTAAAAATTAGGGGCCCTCCCTGGTAGTGCTGCGGGTTAAAGCACAGCACTAAGAAGCTAAAGCCACTTCCACATGAGTTTGATCTCTGCCTGCTCCAGTGGTGACCACAGGGTGTGGCAGATCGCTCCTGATCTGCCCGCTGCTTCCTCTCAGCAGTATACTTCCATGATCTGCCAGTTCTGTTCCCCACTCTGTCTCTGGTGAATCCTTTCACCGCCCCTGCACCTCTGGCCTGTACCCCAGTTCTGTGTGCACAAATAAATAAATCTTTAAAAAAAAATTAAAAATTATTTGTGAATATATTTTTAATATAATGGAAAAAGCAATGTTAAAAAAGAAATGGAATGATTTCAACTACAGAAAAAAATAGAGGCATACCAATATTTTTGTTATTACTTAGGAGTGATGTTGTATTTATGAGTATTATCTTTTTATTTAGATATTTCAAATCTGAAATGAATGTTCAAGAAAATTTATATATCTTCCCTACAGGAAAGATCATTTTTAATTGTTGAGTTATGTCCATTTTATTAGTTATTAGCACATCCTTCCTTTCTCCTGAATTCCTTTAACTTCACTGTTTTAGAAACTAGCTTATGAACTTCTGTTGTTTAATTCTGGGAACACAAAAATAACTTCTACCTTTTTCATTTTAGGGATCCTGAAGGGCTTCGAGTATTTTACTATTTGGTACAGGACCTGAAGTGTTTAGTTTTTAGCCTTATTGGATTACATTTCAAGATTAAACCAATCTAAATACATGTTTTTGAAGTTGTTTTTATATTTAATTATGGGATAGGTAAGGGAGGGTTTATCATTTACAGTGTGGGATTTTTATCAATGTGAACACTTTTGTATGCAAACTGAAAATAAGAAAACAGATTTAAAAAAAAAAGCATAGTGGTTTTCATCACTTGGGTCCAAGTGGGTTGGAGAGACCTGACATGCATTAAAGTCTATAAGTAAAAGCTGCCTTTTACTGAAATTGCTCCAATAAAACATTGAAGACTGGTTGGAGAGTGTTTGTTGTTTTTCAGGGGGCTGTATTTTTGATTCACTTTAAAGGTAAAAGATTCTTTTAGTAGGTACATTCTATGGCATAACTCAGGTGGAAATACAGAATGTATAGCCCCCTTTCTGTTCATGAAAGCCAACTGTAGATCTTCCTTAATTTCTTACAGAGCTTAGGGGATTTAATGTTTTGGTGCATATAGAGCTATTTTTAGAAGGCTATGAAATTTTTACATTTGTCAAACCCCTCAGAGATTATTCATGTTTAAATATTTTGGTGTGAACAATGACATCCTAAAGGCTTACTAGTAAAGTCAATATCCTAAGTTGGACTGTCTTATTTATTATGTCCCTTTTCCTGTTTTACAATGTGTTTATTTTGTTTATCTGTGGGAACTAAATAAGTTCTTAGCTTTACAAATTATTTAGAATTTGGACTTAAATATATACATGTGTGTGTAGGGTATATATTACAAAGATAGGTTATTTTCTTTGACTTCCACTGAGCACAGGTCCCATTCATGCTTTCCAGTTTCCAGTTTTATTATGAATAATTGCAAACATAGAAAACTGTTGAAAGAATTGTAAAATGAGTACCCATACGTTGTCTAAGCTTTATAATTAACTTTTTTTTAAACTGTAATAAGCCTGTTGTAATAAATCATGTCCTGTTGTTAATTTTTCACCTAAGAGTAGAATAACTAATATAATTGGTGCCAGCTGGCCACTCTTTAAAGTGCTGTTTAACTTTGATTAAATTTAGATAGCCACACATGGCTTGGACATGTGCTGTGGACAGTGTCCCTCTAGCGTGTGGCTTGGAGGCCGGTTTGCTGTGAGTGCTCACTGGCCCTTGGTGCTGCATACGGAGGCATGGCCACCCTCTTCAGGTTTGCGGTGGAAGGACATCTCCCCGCATGGGGCAAGACCATATTGTCCTCACCTAGGTCTGTGAATATAAAATAGTCTGTTCAAATTGTAGACTCAGGTGCAGCAGAAACTCATCTTATAAGTCTCTTACCCTTAGATGTCACCCTCTAGGAGAGAGGGAGATTTGATGTTCTGTTGACTCATCATTTTTGGTTGCTCCTCAAAATCATCTTCATTGTTTGGCTCCCATGGAATAAGGTAATTTACTCAAGACTGAGCAAGTTTGGAAAAAGAGTTACAGGTTAAGAAACATTTAATAACTTCTTGCTCCCGTTCTCTTAACAGCTCTCAAGTGCTGATTTACTTATGCTGTCTCTACTATCTGGTTTTCTTAGATTCAAATCAAGGTTGGAAGTAGGCTACTGGGATAAATATTTTACATTGCCCCTGGTTTTCTTATACCTTGTTTGAATTGACTCTCAGTTGTAAGTTAATGGTGAACAGTGATCATTAAAAGTTAAACTTACGGCCCTC